GGTTACTTGTAGTGCCTTCTGGAGAACTGTCTTGGGTAAAATGCCTTTATTTAAAAGAACAGCAATATTTGTAATTAGGATAAACGAAATAAGGGGAGAAGACTTGGACCCTTGCAAAAATAGGGTGGTTTAAATTCAAACCTATAATTATTATATTTTCTATTCTGTACTATTCAGAAAACCGTGGTAAAACAAATAAAAATAGAAAAGATTGCTTAAAAAATTAAAGCCATTGATTTAGATCTCTATTTGAAAGGTCACTGTGTGGGAGATGTTAAAGGCGTTATGGCAATCAGTGTTCAACAAAAGACATTTTAGCAGTGGAATCTACAAAGAGCATATCAACTATTTATATCAGCCACATCAAGTTGCTGGTCATTTCATTTATCAAAGAAAACAAGAAAGCTATTTTCTTTGGACATTCTTTGGGTGTAGTAACAATATAGTTTTGGAATCAGCTGTTAGCAACTATAATTAAAGCTGGTTTATCATGTTTACTAATTATTCTACATAGTCAGTCTCCCTGAAGCTTTATATAATTCTCCCTTTGTTACAAGCTTCTGTTTCTCCCTAAGGCATTCTGAATCCAGACAGGTAAAGAACTGAAGTGCCTGGAAACCAGTGTATTGTAACATCTGTACAGCCAAGCAGCTCTTTGCAATTGAAGTTGAAAAACAACATATAGATTTTAAGCTTTCTGTATATTAGACAGGGTCAGCTATTTAGAGGTTTCAGCTCTACCACTTGGGTAAGGAGATCTCTTGGGTAGAAGGAAGACGTGAAGGAAAATAAAAATCGAAAACAAAATTTCCTTCAGGAGCCTATTTAATGAACACTGGTAAGGGGTGGAGGTTTTTAAGCGGAGACTCCTCGTAACTACCTGATATTGCCGTCAGGCTGGCCAGATGTCGGCCAACAGCAGTGATCCTTTCGTTCACCACTAGAGAGAAGTAGAGGGACCGCATGTGCAGAGAGGCAGCAAACTCAGGTCCCATTTCCTTCTCTCTGCTAGTGGGAGTGCTGTGGCCAGTCTTACATTCCAGCACTTTGGTGCTGGTGGTGCACACTCTCCCTGCTCTGGAATAACTCTGTGCCATGGGAATGGAAAAGCAGCCTCTCTCCTCAGGCCTAAGGGGCAGGAATGAACCCATTTCCTTCCCAGGAAGTGGATTTCAGAACTTCGCAGAGGCTGTGCGACTAATCCTTACACAGGGTAGGCTCCAGGGGAGGGGCAAAGTAGGGCACGCTAACAGCAGGGACTCTGGAGACAAGACCAGTAACCAGAGAAACGAAGGTGGGGCATTTTACCCCTTCCCAATCTATCTCCCTTCATTTACCGTCCTCCTCATTTTCCCTTTCCGCACCAACTGGTATTTGCTACTCAATGGGGGCACACACAGCTCAGTTTCTTACCCTGCATCTTGTGAAACACCTAGAATTCAGGGACTCCTTATCATTGGTTATTTGTAAAATAAATCTCTGGCTCAACCTAGGTGGTGTGGACAGGATTTTCATTTTTGGAAACCAAACGGAGGCCTTTCTCCTACTCTTTCCAGATTACCACCCCACCCCCCTTTCCTTTTCCACTTGTGGCCTCCACCTCCTGCAAGCTGACCAGGACCGTGCATGAAAACAGCCTCCAATGAATATCCACACTGAAGCTTCAGCAGGTTGCTAACTCCTGCAGAGCGATCTTAAAAGGATGTTGTATATAAATGCAAAGTGTTATGGAGCCTCAGAGATCTGTAAGAACACTGTAAATATCCCTGGTTTAATTAGTAGTCCTGGAATTAGGTAATGGCCTGTGGCTTCTAAGCAAGCTCTCTTGGGGTTTCTAGTCTTAAAGGGGCTGCCTGCAACCGTGATGTGCAATCTTCTTTCTCCGACACCGAATAAATCCTTTTAGACCTTCCTAGGCACCTACTCACAATTACTGCAATACACATGCAAATTGGTTCCATTCTCCCAGATTTTTAAAAAGAAAGAAAAAGAAAAAAAAAAAGAAAAGAAAAACGATCCAGCGCCTCAGCCTAGGTTTCAACTCCGATACTTTGGACTCAACTGTCTGCTTGAGTTCTACTTCCCAGGGGAAGGAAAAGGAAGAAATTCCTAGATTCGTGTTGATGGGGTGCTCATTCTCTTCAAGCAGAAACCGGACAACTCACTTTGCAGCTGATCAGTGTCAGGGCAATGCGCTCCAGTTCTCAGAATTTCTGAACCAGCTCTCTCACGGGGACAGTTCAACCAATCGGGGCTGTAGGCAGACTTGACAGGTTTGTTCTGGGCTGACGGCCATTGACCGGGTTCTCGGACCAGATAAGTCACTCGGCTGAGTCTACAGTAGGTGGGGCGCGCTCACCAGCTCTGGGGTAGTGACTGGAAGTTTGTTGCAACACTGGTGAATTCAAGCAGCGGGCTGCTGCAGCAGATACCCTTTTGCCCTGTGAGCACAGCGCGGAAGGGCTCGCCCTAAGGGGCAGGGCGCTAGCGAGGGAGATGCCAGACCCCCGGGGCCCAGCCCGTTCTCCCACGGTTGGGAACGCGCAGTGTTGGCCGACCCGGAGCTCCGATCTCGGGTCTTGGCCCTTCAGCTTGGTCGGCAGGTAGCACGCGAAGGGTGGGACCGGCTCAGGAGCTCTCCCTCGGTGGTCTGCGAGAATCGGCGACCGCGGCCAGCGGTGCGGGGAGGCGGGGGCACGTGCTTGAATGTGGGTGCTTGTGTAACCAGCTTCCCAGGCGCCAGCACCGACCGTGCTTGGGCCGGAGGCCCGTCTGAGCCTGCTCTTCCGCGGCGACCCGGAGGCTCGGGGTCCCGCTACCGGGATCAGGCAGGAGCACCCCGGGCGAAGGAGGCGAAGCACTTGCTTCCCAAGCCATCATAGGGGAGTGGGAATTTGGAAAGTTCCCCAACTAGGAACACACGTGACCTCCTCCTGAAAGTAGTTCCGACTGCGGCCCGCGTATCCCTCCACCTCCTTTTGAACCCGCCTAGGTCTCCTCGGCCCCGCCCACTCGCAGGGGCTGTCGCTGCCTACCGTCCCGTATTTCACACTCGGGCCCGGGCAGCCCCGGCCGCCAGGCTGCGCAGCCCGGCTGGGGCGAGCGCGGAAGCCGACCCTCGGCGATCCATCCGGCCGGGTTTTCACAGCGGCCCGAAAGGGGCGGGGCGAGGCAGTCCCCGAGCCCCGAGCCCGTCGTGGAGAACCTAGCTGGAGCCCCGAGGGGAGGGATGCTCAGCCCTCCAGGGGGCAATGCGGGGGGCTGCGGGTTGCGTCCCCTCCTCCCGGGTCCTCTTTTGGTCCACGCGGGCAGTGGTCCTTGGGGACCTAGAAATTCGGGAGCGATGTGCTCCCACACAGCGCGCTCGATTGCCAGCTCTCGTTTTTAGGGCGAAGGAGCCGAGCTGCCGGGGAAGCGGGAGGTGGGGCGGTGAGAGGGAGCCGGATGAGGTGATACACACGGAGACACAATAGGGGGTTGTTCTTTGTGCTGAGACTGACACCTGGAGAACACGGGTGGGGGGCGGACAAGGAGGGAGGGTTTCTCGGCAAAGGCTGCTGCAGGCGGGTCGCCCCGAGCGACCGTGATCCGGCAGCGGTGCAAAAGGAGGATGAGGCTGCAAGGCCGAGCCGGGGAGGCCTGGGGGCGGTGGCAGGGGGGAGGGGTGCCCTCGCGGCAGGGGCCGTGCCTTCGTTTCCCTGTACCCCCACCAGCGCGGGTCACCTGGTCCTCCCCACCTGTGCACAGGTAACCTCAGGCCCCAGTCAGTGACACCCCTCCACGCACCCCGGAGCTTCCACCTTCGGCCGTCCCTGTCCCCGCCGGGTTTGTGGGCTCAGGCCGAGTTCGCCCCCTCCCTCCTCTTACATCCACCCCGCCCGCAAGTTCCTCTCCAACCCCCCCCCCCCCCCAGCCCCGCGCTGCTGCAGAAGCAGCCGCGGCAAGTGCAGCTCCTGACGGGCGTCTCGCACAAGCCCGAGCGAGCCCTGGGCGCTCGCACTGGGCATGCTCAGTGGCGCCCGGTAGGCCGGGGGCCCGGCGTCGCCCCGAGCTGCCGCCCCCGGCCCCTGCCGCGTCCCTCCTCCCTGGCGGGATATCAGCTCACCCTCCCTGCCTCCCTCAATGTTCCCAGGCATGCTGGCTCCATGGTGGCAGGGGGCGGAGTGGGCCGGCGGGCGGTGATGTGGTGACTCCTTTGTGCACTGGCAGGATGATGCCATGCTGGGGCGCCGAGTCAGCGGCTGTTGCCCTTCCCTCCTCTCTGGAAGCCACAGCCATGATGGAAGTTTGAGAGCTTGGAGCCGCTGTGAGGCGGGTGAGGCTGCGCGCCTGTGGCGAGGGAGATGAGACGGCGGCGGTCGCGGTCTGTATTCTCTCAGCGCTCAGAGTACGCGGGGTATGCCTCTCGGGAGCCGGCCGGCCGGCGGCGGTGGCAGGCAGCGGCGGCGTCTCTCGCCTCCTCCTCGTCCTCTCTTCTAACCGTGCAGCCTCTCGCTCGGCTTCTCGTGCAAGGGACGGTGGATCCCTCGCGGCCCGCGGTTGAGTGCGCGGCGGCGGCGGCACCTCCCGCTCCTGGAGCGGGGGGGAGAAGCGGCGGCGGCGGCGGCGGCCGCGGCGGCTGCAGCCCCGGGGAGGGGGCCGGAGTCGCCTGTCACCATTTCCAGGGCTGGGGCCGCCGGAGAGTTGGTCTCTCCCCTCCTACTGCCTCCAACACGGCGGCGGCGGCGGCGGCACGTCCAGGGACCCGGGCCGGCTCTAAACCTCCCCTCCGCCGCCGCCGCACCCCCCCCGGCCCGGGCACCGGAGGCCGCCGGCGGAGGCAGCCGTCCCGAGGATCACCCGTCGTCTCCCCGTCCCGCGGCCGCCGCGGCCAGGCCTCTGGCTGCTGAGGAGAAGCAGGCCCCGTCGCTGCAACCATCCAGCAGCCGCCGCAGCAGCCATTACCCGGCTGCGGTCCAGAGCCAGGCGGCGGCAGAGCGAGGGGCATCCGCCACCGCCAAGTCCAGAGCCATTTCCATCCTGCAGAAGAAGCCCCGCCACCAGCCGCTTCTGCCATCTCTCTCCTCCTTTTTCTTCAGCCACAGGCTCCCAGACATGACAGCCATCATCAAAGAGATCGTTAGCAGAAACAAAAGGAGATATCAGGAGGATGGATTCGACTTAGACTTGACCTGTATCCATTTCTGCGGCCGCCCCCCTCTCTGCCTTTCTGTCACTGTCTCTTAGAACGTGGGAGCAGACGGAGGCGAAAAATTCCCGTGGTTTGGGGGACCGTGGCCGCTAACCCGGCTCGCGTTTCTCGATCGTGCGTGTGTCGGGTGCCTCCTTTGAATGCGTTCAGCCTAGGGTGTGTTCGGCGCCGTGGAACTCTCTGCCTGGTTGCAAGTGTCAGGGCACCAGATTGGTTTTCTCGGTCTGTCCACGGGGTCTCTTCTTAAGGGCTATTGTCCGTTAATACGGACTCCAGTGCACGGTTAGTGGATTAGTGAGCTCGGTAATCCGGTCTGCTAAATGAACAGAAAAGTAGACGCTTTGAGGTTGAGCATATTTCGATTAAATCTTGGCTTTAGGCCCTAGATCAAGGGTATAGATTAGATTAAAATGAAAATTAGTGTTTCACGTATGCATATTGCATCAGAATGTTGCACTGATTGTTTCTAGTTTCCTGGGTTGCATTGATAGACTTTTTTTTTT